TACTTTGTAAAATTGTTATTACGAAGTTTTAGCATTAATACGGGCCTAAACATCGTCCCTCTTCAAATAAACGATTACATGAAAATGAAATGACGAGTCTGAAAAGGAGCAAAACAGCCTCAGAGCCATCAAGAGAAATGTACAGTCCAGAATACACTTAAAGTAACAGAATACAATCAAATGAAATAAATTATACAAAATTAAGAGAAAAAGACACAAATTAACAAAATAGTGTTCGACAATGACGGCTGTGTCACGTTTCCTATGGAGAGGTGGTGTTCCCTTTAAAGGGTCTGCACCCAGGGGCCAATTGTTTCTTGATCCACCTCATGTGCATGTCCTCTTTTCTCTTGCTAAATGTGTTTATCTAAAAGAAAAAGGAGCCAGGCATCAATGCGTCTTTCTTCATGTCAACTTTGCTATCTACCATCTTCACAAGTATCAGAAGGTGAGGTACAAGACATGAGAAGTAGATTTTGGTGCTTATTGTTGAATCTCCATTCGATGTTAAATGTTTGAAGCTGCATGCATCCGAAGATCGTCGTAACCCTTAACGCACAACTAGATATAACTATTTATAAGACTGGCTACATCTCAATAACCTTAACTTGTCAATAAATAGAAAAGGCAGAGATTTTAGAGGATTAAAACAAATATGTTGGTGTGTAATCAGAATTTGATACAGTTCTTTTGTATGTATTGCTCGTTTAAAGTCTACACAAAATGAAAGGCGGATGTGATGATGGTACGTAATCCATGTGTTGCATCACCATTAGATTATTTGTCCGCCTTTCCACAGAAACATCCATATTGTTCTGGGTTGCACCTCATTGCACCCTTGTTTTTCATTTGCAGCTGATCGATGGATCTCTGGGGGGGAGTTTTGATTGAAGGACCGAGCCAAACTAATTAATTACCGCCGGTCATGCTCCGATGTAACAGACCTTCTGTCGTAATCCAGAACAAACATGGCGCATCTGAGGTCAACACATGTGAGCCTCAGCGCTGAGCCAACAACATGGAGTTTAACTCTCCAACATTAAAGATGCAATAAAAGTCCTGTCTCTTAAAAATATCAAGCAAAGATCAGAAGCAAAACATCTTAAAAAGACACAAGATGGCCTTCGAACAAGTCCATAATCAATACGAGGAACTTTGAGGTCTATCTCTCAAACGTACGGTACTTTCTGTTGATAGCAGTTTCAACTCCACTAAACTGGTTTTATGTGGCGCCGTGAACGCTGTGAGGAACCCTCACCTCAGAGATCGAGGCAGAACAAAAGTGAACAACACAAGAGAGATAATGTATTATTCATGGTTACAACATCAGAAAGGAGGAGAGTGTGGGCTGGGTTGCCGGGCGGAAAGCAGGAGCCTGTGGGCGTCAGAGGAGGAGATGCAGGAGGAGGGGGAGAGGAGATGGTTGATGGAGGAGAGATGGCTTTCTCCGATGGTGCAGACGTGCTCGGGGGGGTGAGATAAGAACTGAAAAGGTATATTTACATTGTCTGCGTCCTCCCTCACCTCGAGAGTCCCCCGCTTGGTCGGGTTGAGAACCAGGAAGCGTTTGAGGAGGTTCTCGCAGTCCGTGGACATGTAGAACGGGATGCGGTACTTCCCTCTCAGCACTCGCTCACGCAGCTCCTGCAGGGAGGAACCGGGGCGTTAGCAACACAACGGCTCCCATTTTAGTGTTGCTGACCCAACACATTAATGCTGGAAGAAAAGTCAACAGATATGCCTCTAATAGCTTGTTTATGTCTACATTTGATCATATTTATGAGATATACCTGACAGAAGCAGCTTCATTTGGTTGATCACAACTGTAAGATGTTGTGAGCTCGACAGAATTGATAGAACATTATACAATTTAGACAAAACTTCCTTCATGCTTCCTCTTTTAGTGACTTTTTTATTTTATTATTGGTTTCTCTTTGTTTCAAACTGTTAACATAGATTGAATGAAAGGAAAACCTCAGAAAAAGGAAAGCAGTCTCAAACAGAAAAAGACAAAAATATTATATTTACTTTTTGTTTTGAGACTCAGGTTGCAAAATAAACTTTTTTGTCCACCAGTCAAATGGCTAGCCAATGTTTAACAAGCCACTCAAATGACAAATGTACCAGTTGTATCCTGGCTAATGGTGCTAATTTTGTGCACTGTTGAAAGGAAGAAATCATTGACACATAATATTCCATTTCCCTTCAAAAACATTATTAATATGTTTGTCCCAATCATCTTAGAATCCAATAGCAGCCATTTTTTTCTCTCTTATTTTCTTCAACTTGTGTATTCCTTATAAGATAACCAACAATAAACCTGTTTCTGATTACATTTTTTAACAACCCGCAGTAAGTCCAGACCCAGTCGGCCCTACCTTGAGGTTCTGTCCGTCGAAGGGCAGCGACCCGCTGACCAGCGTGTACAGGATGACCCCCAGACTCCAAACGTCCACCTCCGGCCCGTCGTACTTCTTCCCCTGGAACAGCTCCGGCGCTGCGTACGGCGGGGAGCCGCAGAACGTGTCCAGCTTGTTGCCCATCGTGAACTCGTTGCTGAAACCAAAATCTGCGATCTTGATGTTCATGTCTGCGTCGAGGAGCAGGTTCTCCGCCTGAGAGCAGACACATGGAGGTCAAGGGTTAAGATCATATCTACATACAGTACATCTGACCAACTAAAAAACTATATCAGTTAGTCTATTTCAAACTGGCAAACATTCAGAGGGGCTTTCCCAGAGCTATTTTTAAATTTGATAAATTCAGGTTCCAGACCTAAAATTCAGTCTTAAATGGTTAACAGTACGGCTTATGTTAAATGCATTTAAAACAATGTCTTGCCTGAAAGTAGTCAGGGGATATTTATTAAATATTTGATGTCTTTCTGCATCTATGGTGAAACATGTAATATTGTGCTTCCCTTCTTTACATTTCTATGATCAACAGTTTAAAACCAAAATATATTAAATACATCTATTACAAGACTGGATCAAAAAAGATTTGTCATTTTTGCTTAACCAATGACTTAAAGGATATTTAAAAAACAGTTTCTTATACAATCATTTCTGCTCTAATTAGCATTTCTTTAGAGCGATTCTTTTGATAAATATAGTCTGATCTTATAACGATAGTCTCTTTGTGAATGAAAGTGTTCAAAACGTATGCAAGGATTTCCAACATCTGCCAACACATTCAGCTGTAGGCCAAAGACTAATTAGGATGCCGAAACTAAGAGAGCAGAAGAAGAAATCTTCCATGGAGCTCAAGGACTGAAACATGAGGGATAAACAACGCTCTTTAACGTGTCTGACCAGAAGCAAAAGAAAAGTGTCACAAGAGCAAAGTGGCCGACAACCCTGAGGAATTGTGATTCATCTCATTCAAATGTAACCGAGTTCATTGTATGTTCTCCGCAATCACGCCTGTGACATGCTGTATGTACACCTGCCCTCATTAAACACACATGTAACACATGGAGCCTGCTCTCACATCTCCTGCTCATGGATCATTCATGAAGCTCTACACAGGAAACAGATTGCAGCAAGTACACAGAGCTTCTCTCCCACTGACGGAGAGATAGAAACACAGAAGCATCCATATTTATATTTGGATTGAAGTAAAGCAGCGTCACGTAATGGCTGAAGTGAATTAACGCTAATTAATGTGGGGAAAATGAACTTCTAAAATATTGCTTTTTGCAGCTAGAAATGAGAATTAAAAGGTCATCAAACGCCCAAATACCATCAATCTGTAAGGTTTAAAGCAAAGCTAGGTTTAAATAAGTAATATTTATCGGCTACAAATCACAGACATCAGCGTACATGTCGTCAGTTTAACATCTACATCTGGAAGCTAGACGTTTAGTTAATGTGAACTACAACGCTTTGGTCATTTATCAGTAAGTTAGTTAAATTAGAAAAATGCAAACTATTCAGATTCGTACCATCATGGTGCAAGACAGTCATTTTGCACAACTAAAAAGGGATTTATTTATTTGTTGGTTTATCTTTCGTCTGTCGTAAATAACCTTTACACTTACCCAAATATTTATATATGAAATATATATGGAAGTAAAGCGGCATTATGAAATAAAGGAGGTCCATTAACACTACAATGTGGTGCATTTTAAAGAGGAACCAGCTACATTGTGCACTATTTTTAAGTAAAAAGGCTGGTTGTTCAGATAAAAGGGCAGCATATGCTCCATTGCGAGTCTTCAGTGGGAATATGGGAGTTAAGATGAGTCATAAAACACGCAGCTCTGACGTCAGCTGCTCACTCTGTGGCCTTTCTATCCAAGTGAGTCAGAGGTAATTAGCCTCAAAAAGTAAATGCATTTTTAATTCTTCGTAGGATTACTGATAAACATGAACACATCTTTCTGTGTATAAAGAAACTTTTCATTGAGATGTGGAATGAAAGTCTGTGTACAAAAAGAAAAATGCCATGGTATTAAATACATTAGATTTAAAAATAAAATGGTGGGCCTTAGAAATTGTTGTTTAAACGGTGAATAAAGACAATACTCCTGGTTCTCCGCCTATTTCTGCTTCCAACTATAATTCAAATATTCTTTTATCTGTGGAATTGTTGTACACTTATACTTGAATGTCTTGGGTACTTTGTACATTTATATTTCACCTATTGCATGTCTTTGGGGCGTGTTAGTTTTAAATAGTTTCCGCCACACGTCTATAATGTGAATTTGATTTATTTATGTGTGTAGAGTTCAATTTAGTATCAAGTATTTGGTTTTATATCATCAGGATGTATGATAGAGGCGATATAAATATATGATAAATAAAACATTTAGATTTTTGATCCAATTTGGCACCTAGATCTGCAGACTAAGACATAATATATATAATTAAATGAAATAAAAACATCTATAAATGGTAATACAAAAATGATTACTTTGTAGCATTCACACAAATCTTCCAACTTAAATCTTGGTAAGTTAATTTCTCTACATTTGAAAAAGGCCAGAGAACCCAGTGATGTTGCTTTAGAGAATAGCTGCAGAAGTTGCTCTTTTAAACAACCCATCATGTGGTTGCAATGCATTCTGGTTTATTTAAGCTTCTGGAAATAAAAAAAAAGTTCATTTTGTTTTTGCTGTGGCTTCTCTGAACTCACCTTGAGGTCTCTGTGAACGATGTGCTTCTGGTGGCAGTACTGCACCGCCGACACAATCTGTACGAGGAAGAAACACAAGCAACAGTCGAGTTAGAAATCTGTTCTGAGATAGAGGATGTGGTGAAGAAAGAGGAGGAGGAGGAGGAGATGTGGTCGACAGACAGGAAAGACAAAACATAACGCAGGTGGGGCTGAAGGAGGCTGAAAAAAAACTTCCTGTGTGCAAAACATGTATCTGCCTCAGTTCAGGAGACATTCTGCAGAAACAGTACAGAAAGACTGTGAGGGATTACACATATCAGGACACAAAGGGGGCCTACAGTCTTACATTTTCACTTGGCTTTGTTTTGCATCTTCAGCTACAAGTTAATTTAAAGGTCACCTATCATGCTATTTGTAGGCAATAGCATAGGTCTCAGATATATACAAATATATAAAAAACATGTCTATGAAGTGTTTTGCTCAAAATACCAAACAGATCCCCCATTCTAGCCATGCCTCATATCCCTCTATTTCACTTCCTGTTTCAAAAGTGCTGATTTGGGGTATGAAGCTATATAAAAAAAAAAATATTGAGAAAAGAAAAGTAGGGGGCTGAGCTCATGCGGGAGATGCTACGGTGATGAAACGCCATATCATGGATTATCAAGGATTATTGCTGAAACAGTATGGAGCTCAAAGGCTTTCTCTCTTGCCGGTTATACCACAAGGTGAGGTCCTTTTTATTTCCTGCTTCTTCACACACATGCTCTCCGGTACAGGTTAGCTCTGAGTGTTAGCGATGCTAATGTAAACACCGACCATATTACGTCCAAAACAGTCGGGCATTGTTTCTGATAGCAACTTTCTGATAAGGCCGTGGGCGTAAAGCCAGCCTACATTTCCGATATTACGTCATATCGGACGCAAATCTGGATCAGCTCCGTTGTAGCCCCGTTTTTAGAGATTTTCGGTACGGAGGAAAAGAGAGAGGGTTTTATTTTCTGACGCTGCGTGAGTTCCCTGACACACCGGGGACACATATCTATGTATAAAAGACATCAAAAAGTGCATTTTGCATGATAGGTCCCCTTTAAGTAGTTGCTCAGTGTGGTGATGTCCTCGACCTATTACCCAGACTGTCTCTTTCTTTAACTGACTCTGTGTTTGTAACATCTAGAGCAGTTTTCAGGGTATGTAAAACAAAAATGTCTGGACTTTTAAAGCGTTTATGACAGTCACTGCTAGGGGAGAGATGGGGACAGATGCAGATTTGGACGTTGCTCATCCATCTTTAAGACGACAGAGAGTTTCCCGTCCCAGAAGTAGGACAGAGGACGGCGACCTGTCTGAGGTGTGAAACCAGAACACTGCAGGGGGAGAAAGTACCTGTCTAAATTTAGCCCTGGCCTCCTTTTCCTTCATTCGTCCATGTGCAACCAGGTAGTCGAACACCTCTCCTGCAGAAGAGACACAAAAGAAAGAGGTTGAGAAACAGCTATACAGAAATAGAGGAGAGTGTGAGTCAAAACTTTTAAGAATAACCCATAGAAATAACTCCACAATGAACTTTTCTTGAGCAGCTGGCCTGCACCGTCACCCATGTGCATGCTTTGAGGGTGTTTGTCGATCGCATTTAAGCTGCTTCCTCCACACTGAGCCTCTCCTGGAGGCACAAAGCTGAGCTCCACTCCGGCTGCGGACCCTTCCCTCGGCCCACACTTCCAACCTAAAACATGACGACGTTCGTTCTAATGTAAATTGAACTCAGGCGGCTGGAATGCATGTGTGTGACCGAGCCAGGGCCGAAAGAGGAACTAAAACAAAATAACAAGCAACAAAAATACATCCCCCTCTTTCTCTGAATCCTTGAAACCCTCCTACTCTCTCAGCGCTGACCTGCAGAGGACGTTTCTGTGCTTCAGAGATCCAGAAAAGCAACAATTCAACACTGCACTCTGACTCAGTGGCAGCCAACACTTAGCATGTCACAGCTAAAGGGCACAGTGCGTGCAGAACAAAGGGATGAGAATAGGGAAGAAAGCTGGAAAATAACAAGGACATTTTAACCTTGATGCTAAAAAGATGTAGAGAAACTAATCTGGATCATTTTCAGCCGTGAAACAAGTTTACAATTATATTGTTTTGTTCAATTCTGTTAGCATGACATTCCTGCATAATTCAATAATGCTGAGGCAACTTTTTAAGCCACATTGCCTCACAGAGGACCTTGAAATGTCCCCGTTTGAATGAAGGTAGCCCCTGATTCAGCAATGTATGCAACATCTTCAGTCTCCTTAAAGGTCATTTAAAGAAGATATGCTCTTAAAAAAGTTTTTCTTGGAAGAAAGTTAAAAGCAAGCCTGAATTAAAGGAAATAAACGGCCACTGGCGACTTAGAGGTAACAAGATGGCCACTTAACAGCCATGCTCTTGTTTTTATTCAGTACAATCAAAGTGCAGTTGAGTCTAATGGGAATGTCTGTAGTTCTGCAGGTATTTGGATGAGAAAATGGAACTGCTGGTGGTGTCAGATGATGAGTTAACGCAGCAGAATTATGATCATGTATAACCACTGGACCGCAAATGTCTGCTAACAATTTCGGGCCAATCCATCCACAAGTTGTTGAGACTGGACTAAAATAGAGGATCGAAGTACAGACAGACACTGCCACACCTAAAAGAAAAATATTATTCTGACAAAGAAAAGTCTCTTTCTGTAAATTCAGTACAAATATGGAAATGTAAAGAACGCACAAAGCTGCAATTTAGTTTTCAGTCACCAGTTGTATAACTGAGCATTTTAGTTTCAAGTGATAAAGCAATCGAGCAACATCTCTTGATTTGATATGTTGTGTTATAACGTTGTTAAAAAGTTATGTTTTGAAATAAACCTATTATTGTTACTTTAAACTCGTCTGACATTCCCTCAGTTTACAGCTTAACAAAGTCATTTCCTAACATCTGGTGAGTTGGCACTTTTACAAATTGAATTTATTGGATCTGTGACTGAAGGTCAGGTTTTAAGATTCTAATGGAATTCCTTAAAAAAAGAAAAAAAAGAAAGCCAAACTTGAGAGAAATATTAGATTTACCTAATTTTAAATCTAATTGTATTGGCTTTTGATCAGACTTCTCATCCTCACGGTAATGTGATTCACAATTTGTCGTCTCTTTGCTTGTCTTGGCGGCCCGAATGCGACCTTTTACAGGAAATCAATGAGAAGACGTGTCTCCTCTGTGTCTGTGTGAGAGAGAGAGAGAGAGAGAGAGAGAGAGAGAGAGAGAGAGAGAGAGAGAGAGAGAGAGAGAGAGTGTGTGTGTGTGTGTGTGTGTGTGTGTGTGTGTGTGTGTGTGTGTGTGTGTGTGTGTGTGTGTGTGTGTGTGTGTGTGTGTGTGTGTGTGTGTGTGTGTGTGTGTGTGTGTGTGTGTGTGTGTGTCCGCATTAATGAGATATTACAAGAAGCTTTCACCAGAAGACAATGTAAACTCACTGTTGGAAGCCGTCACATTTGCAGAAGAATTCAGATTAATTTGCTTCATCTGCTTCTTTTAGCACTCAGGAATACAGATGGCTTCCTGTTATCTTGCATTTAATAACATTACAAGGAAATGCCAGTTTCTATCAGTTGCTGTATATTTAAAGCATTTGTTTGTCCACTTATTAGTCCCTCAGTGGAAGCGTGTTTCTAACATTTGCTCTCCTCAGTCGTTTAATGACCATCCCTCCTTATTTTTCTTTATTTGTTGTAAGTCAAAGTCGCATGTGATTCTAATTTACCTTTACAGACTGTCCACTATAAAGAAATCCAGTCACGAGTGTGCAGACTGCAGAAAAGAAGGAACTACATTGATCATGTTTCTCTCCATGGAGGAAGTGCATTTATATCTAAGCAATGCTGAAAATGCTAAAAATATAGGTCATAGATGAGTTACATGTAGAAGTGCAGGTTTCTGTTGGAGTCGACTGACATGTTTTTCCTGCTCCGAGTCGCTTTTCACTACGTTTACAAAGGACTGATTATGTCTCTGCATCAACATCATTACTTCCTATGTTCTAACCTCCAGGCAGCCGCTTTAAAAAGGGTTCACACATTCTCAGGAACAATGTTTGCTTTGTCAATTATTTTATAGCTCCATATGTTCCTCATAATTTCACAATAACTTCCTTAGAAGTTTAACTGTAAAGAACTTTTTACTTCGACACTAAAACATCGGTAAACAGAGACACTAGTTTAGTTTTTAGATTTGAACCTAGTTTCCAGAGTATCAGCAATAGAAAATGTGAGTTTGTGCACATTTCCATCCACTTCTGTCATGTTGAATATTAGGAGATAATGCGTCCAATTCTAGAGTGTGGTGTGAAAAAACGATTGCAGGAAAGAAACAGTGCAACAAGACGTAACGACCACCAGTCTAAGGAGCAGAGAACATGTGAAAACGGTCACGAACATATAGCATTTGTTTGTTTCAGATACTCATCTGAGGAAGGCTTCAGGCACAAATGTTGTATTGCTCTTCAGTGGAGGTTAGTGGAGGGCTCATGTATTTTATTAATCACACTATAGGTTTCCATTGCACTGTTTTTCTCATCACATCAATCTTTATGCAATATCTTCCAGCTTTTCTACACCATTTTAATCCATTTCCATCCACCTGTTCTAAGTAGGGATGCCAGCGATTATTCGAATATTCGTTACAGTCTCCATAATCGAAATTTTTTTTTTTTTATTCGATTTTATTTATATATTTTTTTATTATTATTTATGTTTTTCCTTTTTTTTTCCTGGCTTAGTCTCAACCAAAATATAGACTAATGCTAATAATAGTAATAGTATTAATAATTGTAAATGGCCAGGGCTGTCCAATTTTTTCGAATTTGATCATGGTCAGTTTCTGGCATCCCTAGTTCTAAGGTGCATTTTCTGTTGATACTCTTCAAATCTAATGCACATTTAGGATGAAATTACAAAGTCATCTCCAGTAAATAATGAAGAAACAATGGACCTTTAAAATAAAGCCTTACCTTATACCCGGTAATAAAGACGCTGATTTTATGCTTCAAGTTATGAACTCAACTTCATTTCCATACTTTCTGTATCAACTTTCGCAGTACTCTTCATACTTATTTTCTGTAAATCCCACTCAGATGTATGTTCTTCTTCGTCTGTTCTCTCAGGTGGAAGTAGAGTCTGCAGACTATAAGCAGCTCCCAGTGTGTATGAATTATTAAAAAAGCACACATTCATCACACTTTGGTGTTAATAAATCATAGTTGGGACGCTGGGAGCAGCAGATTTCTACCGACTACATCAACTTTTCGGCGACAATTCACTCCGTTTCATGTTTGCACTTCTATACGAGGACAGCAGCTTCCTTTTTTTGGCTTGAAGGTTGCACTTATGTCTAACATGCACTTTTACTTGACTTAAGGGGGTCTGTATGTCTTAGATCGTCAGGTTTAAAAGATGTCTGATGATGTTTTCACTTCAATATGAGGACGGCAGCTTCCCTTTTTGGATTGAGGGGTTTTATTTATATCTAAAATCCTCTTTTATTCCACTAAACATGTCTCTGTTTGACATGTTGGTGGTACATGGCTTTCACTTTAAAGCAACAAAATGTTAATTGTATTTTCGTCTCACCTCCACTGGCGTACTCCATCACCAGGTACAGCGTCCTCTCCGTCTCGATCACTTCAAACAGCTTGACTAAAAGGAGAGAATGAGAAAAACGAAAAGAAGGAAATTACATAATCAATTATGCATAAAGATGGAGGAGATTCAGACAGAGATACCAATTAATTCATAGACACCATTCTTTGTGGATGAATATATAAATATGTATGGATATTTCTTTAGCATGGACTTTTAGCCTCTATTTATCAACACACAGTTATAGCCACATTTGTATAGTTTTGTTTATTAAAGTTTTGTAGTGAAATGTGTAAATATGTACTTTGACATTTAATTATTGCAGTGCATTGTTGTCACTTTTATTTATCATTGTCCATCTTTATTAGTGCAGTGACAGATGCCAATGAAGTGTCTGGAGGGGTGTGTGTGTGTGTGTGTGTGTGTGTGTGTGTGTGTGTGTGTGTGTGTGTGTGTGTGTGTGTGTGTGTGGTGATCAGCACAGCATCGAGCCGAGCTTTTTTAGCACTCGATATTTACTGTACAGGCCAAAAGCTGTTGTTTTTCACCTTTTTTACCGCAGTGAGTTTAGCTGGGAGATATAAAAGAGAGGGATGTGTGATGAGCTGCGCTGCTAAATATAGACGAGGTGGGAAGGAAGACAATGAGCGAGAGATGGAGAGCGTCGGGCTGGTGAGCGCTTACAACCACTCTGTTCATTATAATCACATTTCTGCAGAGGAAATCAGGCAGCGCGGGGGGAAAGGAAATCAAAAGTAATTAACGGGGAATCCCATCTCCTAAAAACCATATATGTATACTCTTTACACATAAGCTCATGGAGCCTTGATGTGACTTTTTAAAGGGCCAGCGTCAGTCCTTATGAACATCACTCAATGTGAAAGGATTAGTCCATTCATCGATTAGTTGAATTGTGAGGATTTGATGCTATTCTTTGTTTAAAACAAATGTAGAAGAAACTTGCTTCCTACTTTATTTCAAACCTGCCAACAGTACTGCTTGTTTATTCATTTATTGATTGGTTGTCATTTCCTGTTAGCTGAGTGTCTTTGTGCTGCTCTCCTCATTTCAAACCCGATTCATTTTGTAGTCCCAAAACATATAATGAAATATAAATCATTATTTCAAAAAAAAAAAAGGTACCTACAAAATTCTATATTTTTGGTAAAGGATTTAGTTGTTAAGCTTTTTGCATAATTGCGGCCATATTTACACAATCTTTCCCATTTTCCAGGATTGATTGATTTTAAAGAACACTCTTCTGTCTGTGAGAACAAAAACAAATAAAAAAGGGAACTAAAACCGCTGAAACAGCAGCACTTGTAAGACAAAACAAGCTGATGAAATCCAGGCTGGCGGCATGGGAGAGGACCATGTGACTGCAAACTCACACATGATCATTTGGAAATGTGAAGTGATGTGCATCGATGCCAATTGTTCTAGAATACACTTGTTATGTGTGTAAGAGCCACTTACCTATATTGGGATGATTCAAAATCTTCATTATTCTAACTTCTCTGAAGAGCTGAAATGAGAGAGAGAAAAATACATTTATGGGTTCACTTAGGGTTTCAGGATGTACGATTCTATCGACATTTCAAAACAGTAAACTTGACTTGGTGAGCTCAGGAGAGAAGTCAAATAAAAGTAAGGAGGTGGGGAAGACAAGAAAACAAGAGAAAAAGGTCTGAGACACTATTCTCACATATAGTAGAAAACCTTTATTAAAAACAGCAATTTTATAGTGAAATTTAAAAAACATACAAACTGTTTATGCGTGTTTAAATAAAGCTGAGTTAACAACCCACATGAAGCGACACAAACAGACTTAGTTACAAAGTAGTTCACTTTATTTTGACCCATAGTTGGATACAAAATATGATATTAAAAGATAACATGTGACAAGAGGAGAGTTGGGACACTGTTTACACAAAATTAGCTAATTTACTTTTTTAATAAAGATGCGTCCGTCCGCCTCGAGGTGCAATTGTTTATATTTGTGTTAAATAAAATGAGTAAACACAAAATACATTTCCAACGTGTAAATACAGCAAAATGAGGAAATTCCATCAAGATACAAATCCATCATTTTAGCGTGACTATTTTCCATTACATGACTCCAACAGCAATATGCACTTACTCCTCAAGTGGCATGTCCAGGTCACAAAGCTCAAATATGATGTTTAATTTAAACCTAAATGGATTTTCAGATGTGCGCACACAGATTTCATTAATTTTTTAGATGGCACTTCACAGTTTACTCGGCCTTGTGTCTGACATTTGTGCCACAAACACATAGTAGGGCTCCCGGTCAACACTGCTTTCCTTAACAACAAGAGATCAGGAACTAGCTGTGCTCCAACAACACAAGTCTAGGATTTTCTTATACATTCTTGGGGCCATTTACTAGCTTTAATAACACATTAATGTATCAATAATCATAATCAAAACATATCATATATACTATTCTGAAATGGACCAATCTGCATAATGAGTACTAGTATATTTTGATGCTAATACTTTTGTACTTTTACTTGAGTAACATTTCGATTGCAGGACTTTAACTAAGTATTCCTACACTCTGGTACTTCTACTTTTACTGAAGTACAAGACCTTCGTACTTCTCCCACCTCCTGATAATTATTTGATATTATAAGGTGATCGTTTTCAATGAAGGACCCCAACAGGAGAATCCCCTTCAGCGCAGAGTGGGTTAAATCCAGCCTGAGAGATCGAGAACAGATCTGAATGACGTTAGAGATGCATCGTCACATCTCCAGCCTGTTCTCTAATAAGAAAGCCCTCAGTCAACACACGCTCTCATCAGCATTCAGAGACCAGACAGGCACATTTGTAAAGGCCAAAAGAGCTTTTTACTCTTCTGCTGTACGAGGCACAAAAAGAAAAAACCCAGAGTGCAATTTATTATTGATCCGCTGTTAACTACACCTCGCCCTCTTCCCTTCCATCAAAAATGTAAAAAGGCATTAATGTTTCACAAGGCGGGAGTAGCCACAGTGTTGACTCACTCACGAGCAAATCTTGAGAAGGTGAAGCAAGAAAACCCAAAAAATCATTGATAAAATGAGATGTACACCGAGCAGAAGGTTTTTATCGTGTTTTAAATTGATATTTTGTTTGGACCTTGGATCACGTAAATCCTCACATTTTAAAAGTGGTATCCACCATATGCTCCACATTTCATAAAGATGAATTATTTAAACTTAAAGCTTTCCGATAGAATAGTTTCAGCAGCAAGATGTTTTTTTTTAGGCTTATAACAATACTTTCCATGTTTTTCCTTTTACTAGAAAACTATTCTCTTGGAGTGAAATTTGGATCACTTGCCGTTTTAATATTGGGGTCAAGGTCAAGGTAAAATGATCAATTATTTTATAAAATACACCCAAAAAAATGTATGTCCAAAGTTAGAATCAAAATTATTCATAAATTGCTCAATAAAAAAAGAATTGCAAGCGATCCAGGGGGCGGGGAAATTGGATTTATAACGGTTACTACATTTCGAAAGACATCTTAATATAAACAGAGAAGCTTAAGTAAACATGTGCACACTTTACTAAAAACCATAAATATTAATTATGTAAAATACAATAAAACCATATAGTGCTTTAATTTAAGAATTTATATTATTTTCTAAAAAAAGGTTATTTCTCATAATTTACAGCACAATACAGTAATTATGCCAAAGTGAGATAGATAAGGGAGGTTAGTCATTTTAATAAGCCTATTTAGTCACAGTATCATCTAAAAACATTGTGTGTTTCAACCATTAAGGGTTAGTACAAAATGGTGTTAACAGGTAAAGTCACATGACACACCACCCCTTCTACTGTAAAGAAGTGTGCCTGCTATGGAAAGGTCACAAAGGCAACAATGATTGTGTCTTGAGTTGGAAAGAACGTAAAGGAAACTGCAGAAATTTATTGTTCATGTTACAAAGAAATCCTGCAGGAATGTGAATTGCAGCACCTCAACATGACTCAAAAGCTGAACAGGGTTCAACCTTTTTACCGGTTTGTCATCCCTGCTGTATTTAAAGAATGAGGGGAGTGAGTCTGAAAGCTGCCTTAAAGTCTAGCAGGAGTACTTTACTGTATTTCATCCCTTCTATTGTCTCATTTCCTGTCACCTCTCTACAGTCCTCTATCAAAATAAGAGGCAAAAATGCCCACAAAAGATGTTGAAAAACAACCATCTAGGCAACATGTTAAACCTATGTGTTGATGGTTTATAGCCTTCTGGGAATTGTAGTCAAATCACGCAGTAAAGGCAAAATGGGTTCACAAAACTTGTCCTTGCATGTTTTTTCAAAATAAAAACTATTATCCTTGGACATAAGTTGATCTTGTTGCTCCATTTGTGCTAGAATAATAAGTTAAGTTGAATGAAAGTATTTGTTGTTTAATAGCAAATTAATCAATAAGTTTTTGATTAAATCAATCAATATTTTTAAATCACTTCTGATGTAGAAACACCAAATACCCCCTGTAAGATTTGCTTGCTTTTCTTTGTTTCATATCACGGTATACTTCGATTATGCTTTTTTAAACTGATGATCTGACAACAAAGAAAGTTAAGACATGAATATTTTACATTTATGAGATTATTAAAACTTTTATGATTCTGTCTTTCTGTTTCTACTAATAGTGAAATGTGGTTTTTCCCCCCATTCTGTTTGTGTCTAGAGAGCAGCTTGAAAATAAAAGATAATAAGTATGACTTCAAATGGTATGATAGTAATTTGAACACCCAGATCCTGCAGTGAACGCCGGCTGTGGGATGTACGGAGATAATACATCTCATTTCAGAGAGACAACTGAAGGGTTAATTATGAGCTGCAGCGAACAGCGAGGCCTTCGGGACTGAGGCGACCGGTTTGGAAGAAATGTTAACAAACCAAGCCAGGACGAAGAGGAGGGGAAGAAGAAGAGCCCGAGGTCTCCTCACTGTCATTACTCCGCTCTGACTGTCGTTAAACTGAGGACTCTCTCCATATTTTTTTATAAATATGACAGAATAAAGAGGAATGATTACTAGAGAGAAAAGGTGCTCTGAGCTTGGGCTGGACTCAAATCAGTTATCACAATATTTTTGGGCAAATTACAGGTTTATATTTGTACCATGTGCCTCGACCGCGACATGTTTCCATTCTTTAATGTTCAAAAAGCTCTTTATTTTTCATAGTGCCTTTGCTAAAGCTCCTCTTTTCAACCTCTGTCTGTAAATGTTATTTCTATAAACAAAACATTGAAAAAGTCTATTTAAAAAATGTTGAATGAAGTCATAAAAAGTGACGACAGACGATCAAAACGTCATTAAAGATTACACAACATTAAACAATTACTAAGCCCTCAAAGAACCTTTTACGTCCATATTTGTTGCCAATGGAAAAATGGCAGCCACTCGATTACTTAAAGTGTGTACTGTCCTGTTGAGCAGATACAGTTCATTTGACATCTGGGTAAATAAACAAAAAAAAAGACCAGTAGATGGAAATACTTTCGTCAGGTATGTTGTGCAGTAAACAGAATTACCGGTAGTGGAAAAACACGCACAGATGGTTCCCGGCAGAATACAACAGGGAGGTCGAGGACGTAAACCTGCTGGAGATCCAGTCATACCGCCGCAGTGATGCAACGACGCTTACACAATCTGCCGTGAGATCGACACAAAGCACCTTTAGGACAAATGACACACACTTTGAGGGTGTCATCATCTCACATTGGCCATCCCCAGGAGAAAAAACTGCATCATCCTGTTTAAGTCGCTTCAATTATGACTGATCTGAGGCTCGTAAAGCAAAATCCCGTGGGCTCACCATCAGAGCATGTTTCTGGTCAACTTTGAGGTGAATCCCAACACAATTGGATTATAGGAACATCGGCTTGGAAAGAAAGATGTCTGTGGATCCTTTCTTGAGATAATTGACCCCCCCATTGTTTATTTCAGAGATATAAAAACACCCAGACTGCAGTTTTCTGTTAGACGTGCTTCTCTTTGCAGTTATTTGTTCCCTTACAAGTACAAAAATGCAATTGTTCCCATCTGGAGAGACACACCTGAGGGAATAAACAATGTGGTTTAAATTAACTTCTGCGAGTTACAGAAAACTGGTTTATCTCAGATGTTTGAAGTTACGAGGGCAGATATGAAGAGATGCCTCCTTCAGACTTCAAACGAACGAAAAACTACAGATCCACGTTATGAGATTCTGAATATTTCTCTCTCCAGGCTTCTTTAGTGCAGTGGGTCCATACCTTTCTTCACTTTTGTGGAATTTCTAATGTGAAGCAGTGTCCATTTGTTAACCCTCGTCAAAGTGTCTCTATTGTAGTTGCAGCTCATTCAAAGTAAATGTAAAGGGAGAGTGCTTCATTTGAATGCTTCTGATTGGCCTGAAGCAGTAAAACCAACTAAAATAATGTATCATTTTAAGAATGGCTTGTGGGGTTTGGGAGTCTGGGGTTGGGCAAAAATGAGTCGGTGGATTAGTTAAAACAACTA